AGTTTTTTTTTGCGTTCTCACCTGGTACTGATACTTGATTCAAAGCACTGCTCGTTCTTTGCTTTAGAATGTCCTTTTATCAAGACTTGTACTTGTCAAAATGCTGTAATTCTGAAACTTTTTTGATCCAGCTTCAGTTTGTAATATTGTGACTAAAAATGATCTTGGAGGAATTTTTTTGGGACCTCGTAATGTCAAAATGTCATGCAGTGTATATTGATTGACTCATAGATCCTAAAATTTGCTTATAGACACCAGTTTTCGCAAGTTCTCCCTGTCCAGCTAGTTAGATTTTCTTATAGAATATTCTGGCATATTGGAGCTCAACGCAGTTTTAGAGCGAAAAGTCTAGGAGTTAAACGCCAAAGAAACTCCGAAAACATAATATTCTCTCTAATTTCTCTTCTTTTCAGCGCGCAGAAGAGCCAAGCAACGGTGAGGCATCCGGGGGCAGCTTGGTTTTTGTAAAAATGGAGTCTGATACGGATCGGCTTTCCGCGAAACAACGCTTGGGCCGAAGTCCTAGTCGAATGCCCACACAACTCATTCAACCAACAGGAGATGACGAATCTGGTGAGATGGGCATGTAATTGTGTTAGAGTGCGTTTTCCAAACACACACATTGCGAGCGAAGAAATGTTACACGTGGCAGTTGTCTTACACGAATTTTGCATGCATCTGTTCTCATTCAGCATAAAAAATTCACTAGATTTGACTGATGTTCAGATTCTGACGAACCGCTCCTTTCGGGATCCGGAAATGTGAGCAAAGATTGTCCAGAGGAGCTAATGAAGCAGTGGACAGAATGCATAGAACAGTGGAAGAAGAGTGAGGGAGGGTTGGTGCTTTGGTTATATTTATCGCTCGATCGTATGTCTCTTATAGCGTATGTTCAGCGAAAAGCCGGAAATAGTATCGTCTCTGATCCTCAACGGTGTGCCTGACGTTTTACGCGGAGAAGTTTGGAGGCTGCTCGCTAAGGTTTCGCTTCTCCTAAATTTTTTTTAGCTCAGCGAATCGCTAAGCGATGTCATCTGCACAGAAATTAAGCGATTGCTTGAATCTGGATCCCCTGCGAAAAATGTTCTATTCAGGTTCATCTCGATCCAGAACTCGTTAATACCTATCACTTACTTCTAGGCAAGGTAATTATTTCGATGCTTTGACAGTTTTTCAATGAGAACTTTTTGTAGGATTGCCCCTCGGAACAAGTCATATTGAGGGATATTCATCGGACCTTCCCAGCTCATGAGAATTTTAAAGAAGCAGGGGGAGAAGGTCAAGAATCTTTGTATAAAATTAGCAAGGTATGCCAAGTGGTTTCGCAAAGGATGGGGTTTTTGCTAAAGTGAGTGTTCTAGGCGTACTCTCTTTACGACGAAGAAGTGTCATATTGTCAAGGATTATCTTTTCTGGCGGCCAGCCTTCTGCTTCATGTAAGTATTTATTGTATTAACCTTTACCTTCTTTACTTTATCATGTTTTGATGAAGCTGGATTGTTATGCGATTGAGATTGCTGTTTGCTAAAGTTTACACAGTTTTGCTCCCGTTCTGTGTTTTCTTTTTCAACTGATATTCATTGGTCGTTTGTTGA